AAGGAAGGAAGGAAGGAAGGAAGGAAGGAAGGAAGGAAGGAAGGAAGGAACTCTCACCTTCCTCTGGGCACTGGACATGTGGTGGATGTGTGTTGCAGGCTTCTCTCCTGCTCTCTCAGCTGTGTGTTCACTTTCTTGAGAGTGGCCTTGGAGACACAAAGACTTAACGTTGATGAAGTCTAGTTAGCTTCTTTTATCTTTTGTTGTTCATGTTTTTGGCATCATATCAAAAGATTACATTCTCAAATCTAGGCTTGTGAAATTTTACCCATTTTGTCTAAGAATATTATGGTATGGGGGTGGCCCATAATGAGCTGAGTTTCCTTTATGATACGGTGCAGAGGCTCATGTCTTGCACATGTTGGTTGAAGAGACTGAAGATTTTAGAATGATGTCAGGGGTTCAGATGTGTAATTTGTCACCCAGGAGGTGAAGGATGAAAATGCCACGTGCTTTCTTTGTTCCTATTATTTGGGAGGACTTGAAATAGTTATAAGTAAATGTTGCCATATTGGGTACCCAGTGAGGTGGAAGCAAAAGGTTCAGGAGTTCAGCATCATCCTTAGCTACTTACTAAGTACTTACTGAATTTGAGGCCGGCCTGGGCTACATGAGACCCTATCTCAAAAAGAGTTATGAAAATAAAGGTTGTGTTTTTGATAACTTTTAGCAAAAAACATCAGGCTTTAATCTAAATTTAAACTAGTGAAAATTACCAAATTAACTGCTTTTTCTATTATTTATAGTCTTTAAAATTCTTACTAGCTGAAAATGGTGACTCACACTTATCATCTGAGCACTCTGAGGCTGAAATGAAAAGTTTGCCATCATTTTGAAGTCAGCCTGGAATAATGTCTAAGTTTCTTTTCCTGTGGCTGTGATAAAACACCCTGACAAAGGCTGGAGAGATGGCTCAGTGGTTAAGACACTGTCTGTTCTTCCAAAGGTCCTGAGTTCAATTCCCAGCAACCACGTGGTGGCTACAACCATCTATAGAGAGATCTGGTGCCCTCTCACATGCAGGCAAAACACTATAAATAAATAAGTAAATAAATAAATAGATAGATAAATAAATAAATAAGAAAGAAAAAAAAAAAAAGCACACCCTGACAAAAGCAACTGGGAAAGAGTTTATTTTAGCTTGCAGTTGGAGGCACAGTCCATCATGGTGAGGAAGTCGCAGAGCCAGGAGCCTGAGGAAGTTGAGGAAGACTGCATGAGGTTACTGCTCAGCTCCCTCTGTCCACACGTGCAGTCCAGAGTCCCTAGCCTCAGAAACAGTGCCACCCACAGTGTGTCACACGCATCATTTAGTGGAAGTTCACCCCCACAAGCCCGTCCCCAGGTGGTTCTAGACTCTGTTGATAGAACCATCATAGCTACATAGTTCCAGACCAGCCTGGGATGGTCATAATAAAACAAACAACAACAACAAGCCTTCCTGTATATATTAACCTGTAGAAAAAAGCTCATGAATTTTAGGGACAAATGGGGTTCAAGGTCAGCCTCTGCTGCATAGAATGTTTGAGACACTCCTGGGCTATACATAAAATCCTGCCTCAAAAAATTAAAAAGCAGCCGGCAGTGATGGCACACACCTGTAATCCCAGTACTCGGGGAGGCAGAGGCAGGCAGAACTCCATGAGATTGAGGCCAGCCTGGTCTACAAAGCAAGTCCAAGACAGTCAAGGCTACACAGAGAAACCCTGTCTTGAAAACAACAAACAAAAATAATTTGGAAAAAAAAAAAAGACCAGAAACCATTTATGATGGGCTGGTGAGATGGTTCGGTGAATAAAATGCTTCCTATGAAAGCATGGGGACCTGAGTTTGAATCCCCACGATCATAAAACCAGACATAGTTGTATAGTCTGTGGTCCCAAAACTTCTATGGCCAAATGGAAACTAGAGACAAGAGAATCTCTGGAAGCTTATAGGGTGACAGTTCTGGTATACACAGTCGAAAAAAGAGAACCTGTCTCAAACATGGTAGAAGGCAAAGACTGGATATGAGGTTGCCATCTGACCACCACGGCACACACGTGCCTGTACTCACACTCACATATAGATAGATAGATAGACGGATGGATGGATGGATATGAACAAGTGAATGAATGAATGAATTCATGGATTTTAGAACTGATTAACCAAACTTCATTGACTAAAAACACTCTTAACATTGGTGCATTTTCCTTCCGTCCAGGGTGAAGATCATTTAAATGCAGTCAGTGATCAAATCCAAAGGTCTAATGTCTGTGGAGGACGAATGGACAGGACTTTGCTTCTTGGCTCCATTTCCCACTTACTGCTCAGTAGGCATCTCTGTAAACCCGAGTTTATACCAAAATGTGTGATCACACATCACACAGCTCCATTCGCAGTACTTAGATTTGCCAACATTCAGACCTGCTCTGTATTGCTCTCCATGGAGGCTAATAAGTTCCGATGCCTGAAACCATGGAAACAGAGGAAAGTGATGAAAGCACATATTTGCACCTTAGCCCCTATGGCTTTTTTGGTTAATTTATATTTTTCCTACGTAATTCATGGATTTGTTTGTATGTGTGTTGAGTTGTCACTTCTTTTCATGTTTTTAATCACCCTACAAAAAAATACCAAATAGGCTGTTTGTTTCCTGTGGTTCTCAGTCTTTATGGACCCAATATTACTCCTTTCTATGTACTTGAGTAATGTTTGATTGTCTGCGAGCCATTCCAGCATAAGCTGTGAGTATGTATTGATAGATATATACATTTCTATTTTTATAACCCATAGTGATATGCCTATTTTGAAGAATGTGCATAACAAAACCCAACAACAAAGCTCCCAGACAGCCTCTTTTTGCTGTTTCCTCAGACTGTATTTATGAAAGTTGGCTAGGGCCAAATCCGTACTTGGAGGCTAATTAGCCTTGTTTTATTTTTAGATAAGATGTAGCCTTTCAGTAGCATTCATTCTCTTAACCTGCAGTCTGTGTGTGCACACGGTCCCTGCTGTGCGCCTACATGTACACGTTTGCCTGTGCACTCAACTGAGGCGTGGAAGTCTTCTGAAGAACACAGGATGAAAGTCGCTGCTGAGACTGGGTGTCTGCCTTCCTGTGTAACAGCAGGCCACACCGCTGGTGACGCTATGGCTGTTGCTGTGGCAGAATACTCAGTTCTTCTCTGACATGAGTGTCCTTATGAATGTGTTCTGAGCCAGCCAAAGAGCCCACTGTGTGCTCGCACCTGCTTCAGCCTGGGCCTCCACTGTGGTTGGGCATCCTGAGCTGCACCCTGCACTACAGCCCAGGGCCTGGCAGGTGTGTGGAATGGCAGGTGGCTCTGTATGGTGCCCATCACACTTACCTGACAGGGAGTGATGGCGAGGGGCAGAGCTCACAGTAGGAAGTACTCAGAGAGACAAGAAATCTCTACACTCTCTTCTCTTGCTAGTTCAGATGTGTTCTCTGTTGCTGCTAATTATAGTTGTTCCTCACTCTGCTGAAGGAGGAATTTGGTTTCCCAAAATGAAGTGTTTGCTATAGACTGGCAGTTGAAGAGGAGGTTTTGTAGTCATTAGGCATGTCTGACCTTTTGACATTGTGACTTGAAGCCTGAGAACTGAATGTGTTAAGTGAGTTTACAGTTTTGTGCTGGGCCACATTCCTAGCTATACTGAGGCATGTATGGCCTGCAAGCTGTGGTTCAAACATGCCGGTTGTCTGTGAGGTAGAACATGAGATGGACTGTGTGATCTCTTGGCAGGCATTTAAACAGATGCCTCCCTTTGCCTGGACATCCCTTGAGCTCAGGCTCTGAACTTAGATCTCCGTGCTACATATGTGTGACCACCAGCAGACCACTAGCCCAGCTTGCTGGGGTTATCTGTGTTTAAGAAAAATGGGCATTTAAGGATATTTAATGTCCTCTTAGGACCATAAATGTAGTCAAAGGATTGTTGCTATTCTGGCCCTTCAGAATTTAAGTGTTTTTGATACAGTGTTCAGGCTGTAACCCATGTTTCTGCCAGCTGGGCTACTCAGTCATCTACTTTACTCTGCAGAACAGCCTATGACTTTATGTTGCTTTAGTCACTACCTTTTGAATTCTCCAGAAAAATTGTTTTCAAAGCAAACATTCCAGGATGAATGTGGCTCCTCAGCGGAATGTCTGCGCTGTGCTTGAAGACTCTGCAGGTTTTAGCTGTAACTGCAGGGTCGTCCCCAAGTAGAGGAGGTGGACTTTGGAGTGACAGTTGATTATACCTTCAGTTTATTCATGTGCCTGGCTCTCTCTAGTGTTTTGGACTTATCAAAACAACCAAGATAATGGCCCTTGGTGTTTGAAGGGGATCGTCCCTGATTACAACAGCTGTAGCATTTCTACTCCCATCCAGCGGGGCACTGTAGGCTAACTGCACTTTCTTCCCAGAGGAGAGCAGGCTGGGAAGTCAGAGGCCTAGGCCATTATCCAGGCAGGCAGAGGCCATGTGCTTCCATCAACAGAGCTGTTCTCCTTTTTCTTTTTATCCACAGATAAGGAGAAAATATATGTGCATTCACACCAACCCAACTCTGTCACTCTAGCACCCTCTTTTCATATATTGGAGCAACTGTGCAATATGGAATTGATTTGGTCAGGTCAACTTTTAGGCCATATGTGAAATTCTTACTTGTTTTCTATCTTATCTAAAATGTCCCTGCGATGCCGGAATCAGAACCTCAGTGCAGCAATCTCTGTCAGTCGTTGCCTTGTGGACAGCACTCAGCATCACCATCTAGAATTAATTATCTATGACCTGTGATGGGTCTGCTTTGGCTGGTTATAGAAAATACAGGTTTTTACTTTTACTTCACTTTTAGTTAAAGGCAAGTAAAATTAACAAAAATAGCTAGTATGTTTCACAGAAACCGGCCGCAGGTTATTACATAGACATTTTTGCTTTTTTAAAGATGAGAGATGATTAAGCCACATGGTATTTGAGGGCAATGAAGGATATGTTTTTCCTCAGAAGAGCATTGTACAATTATATTTTTATGAAAAATAAAGTATCTTCACCAAAATCATGTCAAATTGCCTGCTTCACAATATTGAAAAATCTGTGTGTGTACCTACAGAAGCTAGGAAAGAAAAGGGGCCTGGGGTCGGTGAGATGGGTCAGCAGGCAAAGGCGCTTCGCTGCCAAGGTAGACAACCTGAGTTCCGACCCCACACAGTGGAAGGGGAGAACTGGCTGCTTCCACACTCAGATGTGGTCAAGATGGCTTACTGCTCTTTTGGAAGACGCGGGTTCAGTTCCAGCACCTGCATAGTGGCACACAACATCCCGAAATACAGTTCAGGGGATTCCGTGGGCTCCTGCTGCAGGTGGTGCACATCGCTAAGGCAAGCTTACATACACACAATTCTTTTTACCTAAATGGTAGTAGGCAGGTCCTTCCTCCGTTAACCACCCTGACCCCTCCCCTATCCACACAGAGTCACTTTCCAAGGGTAAAAGGTATGCTAAGCAGGGTCATTTTAGTTAGTGACAAAATGCCTCAAGAAGGGTCTATTTTGGCCCATGGTTTAAGGTTCATTCCCACCCAGGGAAGACATCACAATAGGAATGGGAGGCGTCTACAGTAAGAAGCAGGGTTCTTGAGCTTGTCTTTTATTCCTGGTCTGGGTCTTTAGACTGAGGGGTAGCGCCTGCCACATTTAGTTAACCTTTCTGGAAAAGCCCTCATAAGCACTCTGTATTTCCTGGATGCTCTCAATCTCAAGTTGACATGATTAACCACAGGGTATGAAAACTGCTTGTTAAATAGCACAGGACTGAGCTGTCAAGATGGCTCAGCAGGCAATGGCACTTGCCACCTGCTTGACAGCCTGAGTTGATGCCTGGAACCCACACATACAGTGGGAGGGAGAACCCTCCCCTCTCAGGCTCTCCTTTGAGCACACACCGCTACACACACTGAACAAATGTGAATAAATATTCACAGTATGTAAGGATTTAAGTTATTAAAAATAAAAATGTTTAATGAACTCAAATCAAAATGCAGTGTTAGGATATTGATTAAATAACAGAATGAGCTAGTGGCAAGACAAAGTATATATAAATAAAAGCAGGTTTATTGGGAGCAGCTGGGGACTAGGAGGAGCAAGAGAGAAAGGAAGAAGAAAAGAACACAGAAGAAAGAAGAGGGAGAGAGGAATCGGAGAGGGAGGGGGATTATATAGTGAAGGGCCTCTAGTTCTGGGAGAAGGGAAGCCCCACCCCTGGGCTAGGGAATTCAGGGTAGAGGGCAGGGTATGCCATTCATGCCCTGCAGCAGGTAGGGACCACGGGATGCCTGAAACCAAACAGATATACCCGGGTTATTTTTTTTTTTTTTATCGTTCTACTTATCCTCTGAATTGGTACAATTGGAGGTTCTTTGTGGCAATAATAGCCTTCAATTAATTAGATTCCTTTTAAGAACCACTGGTGTTCCAACTGGTGACTTTATGCTCTGATTATCTATATACAGTGATTTTCAGGCGCTAAATAACAGATTTTGGTTGGTTTGGTTTTTTGTTTGTTTGTTTGTTTTGTTGTTGTTGTTTTTTCCATTTCATCCATTTTACTTTTACATCAATCCAAGTCTGGACTGTCATGTAACATTGTGATGATTGTGCCCAAAGACACACAGCTAAGGTGGCTGACCTGCCGGCTCCTTGTTGAACTCTGAGTGTTGCTAGGTCCGCCCAGAATTTACCCAGTCAGCACACCTTTTTAAATCCCTCAACTCACGAGGGGTGCTCTTTTGAAAAGTTTGCAAAATAATGGCACTTTAGAGCTGCCTTTAACCCCATTAGGTGTGTCTCTTCTAATCCCTGTTCAGTGATGTCAGTTTGGTAGTCACTCAGGAAAGGGACAGTCATCCTTGATGCACCCACTGAGAATGGCCAAGTGGGGGTCAGCACTGCCCAGCTCAGAGCAGCTGGCTGAAGGAATCCCAGACTCTGAGCAGCGTGGAGCTGTCCAGAAATTCAGATTATGTCACAGGACAGATCGCAGTTATGGTTCAGAAGCTGTTGAAGCTCCAGCCCTCTCTAGGAACCATGAGGCAGAAGAGCTGCTGAATTTCTTCTTCTTTTCTCTATTTAAACGGGGTCTCACTATGTTGCCCTGGCTGGCTTGGAACTCACTATGTAAACCAGGCTGTCCTTGAGCTCACCAAGATCCGCCTCCCTTGTCTCCTGAGTGCTGGGATTAAAGGTCCAAACTACTACGCCCAGCCTTCAGCTGAATTCTCAATCCTAGAGTCTCCAGACTCAAGGAATCACTGTGCTTAACACAGGGCCCTAAACACTGTGGGGTGGGCGGGGCAGGCCTGGGCTGGCCCAGGCTGGCGTGGGGTTGGGCATTGGGCTGGGCCTGACAGAGTATTCGACAGGTAAAGATCTGAACAGGAAAAGCTCAGTCCAGTCTTGTGTCCCTCAGCAGCCCCTTCCTGGTAAGCACTTGAGACCCTGAGACTGAAGACATGGAACTGTCTGAAGGCCAGGACAGCTCAGAATCAATAGGACACAGACCATGCAAGTCCACACCAAGAGCACCCCCGCCAGGGCCACGGGAGAAAAGACAAGGTCTAGGGCAACAAACAGAAAATGCTCTTGCAAAGCTCCTTAGTTCAGTTCCCAGCAACCACATGGTGGCTCACAACCGGCTCTAAGGAGATCTAGTGCCCTCTTCTGGTATGAACGTGCACAAGCAGGCAGAACATTGTATTAAATAAATCTAAAAACAAAACATCTGAAGGTAGCTGAAGGGGCCAACCTGGGCTACATAAGATGCCATCTCAAAAAACAAAAATATAAATACATAGTGAGTTTTGAGCCAGCCAGGACTATATACTGAGATCCTGTGGGGAAAAAAAAAAAAAAGAACGGTGGTGGTGGTGGTACATGCTTTTAGTCCAAGCACTTGGGGGGTAGAGGTAGGTGGACCTCTGAATGCCAGCCTGGTCTATAAAGTGCATCCAGGACATCCAGGGATACACAGAGAAACCCTGTCTCGAAAAACCAAAACAAAAGAAAAACAACAACACCAGCAGAAAACTGTTGAAGCTGTAGCCGCCAAGCCTGGCAGCCACACAGGAAGAAGAAGAAGAACATCAGAAGGGAAAGTTTGCTCACACCTTCACTAGAAGGTTGTGGTCCTGTGAGGGCTAAGAGGAGATGCAAGCTAGGACTGCCCCAGCCTTGTTAGACTATCCCTCATCTTCTAGTAGTCCAGGCCAAAAGGTAAAAACCCATGTGAGCGTGAGCTTTTTCAACCAGAGAGAGCAGCCTCGAGGCACATGCCTTTAACCCCAGCTACACAGAAACCCTGTCTCGAAATAAAAATTCAACCAGAGAGAACAAGAACTCTGCTTCGCATAGGTAAATAATAATAATAATAATAAAGATCTTTGAACCTCTTTCTGGAGTGGGGCATCATGGAGGGTCTTGAGTACAAATGAGAAACAGCTAGTTCGGAACGACATCACCACGGTTGGGCATTTGGCTCTGTGGGGAGATTGCATGTGTAGCAGACACCAGCTCAGCCAGCCGGCACCACTCAGAGTGTGGGCGCCTGCAATCCCAGCACTAGGTGGAGCACCAGAAGTTCAATGTCACCCTGAGCAGGCTTCAGGGGACCACACTAGATTCCTCTCAAAAGGAGGGAGAGAGGGACAGAGGGGGAGCAAAGCAACTGAGTCCCCACACAGGGGTGCCTGTAAAAAGGGGCGGGGGTGGGGTGGCCGGGCAAACGAGAAGCACAGAGCCGAGAAGGTTGTCATCAGATCTTCGTCAATCCCTCCGAACCTTCTTTTCACACTGAACCCGGAGATCACTGGTTTCTGGCCGTCAGGTTCCAGGGACCCTCCCGTGGCCACCTCCCTGGTGCTGGGTTTGGAGGTGGACCACAGCTAGCTTGCCCGACTAAGAACAGGGGCAATCGCTACCGTGGCTGCGGTGTCACGGAAACGTTTCCCTGAAGGACATGAGTCTCCTGTGTCGGGCTTCTGTGAGTACACAGTGGCAAGCCCTACTGGCTGCCGAGTGCTCACATCAGATGTCCTCAGACCTCCAGATCTGCCTCCTCAGCCCGAGGCAGGACGTGTGTTTGGTCATCCTGAAGAACTAGAGTCACACATCCTTCAAGTCTGAAGGGGATCCAAATTCTGCTCTACTGTATAACTCAGACCAGAAAAGCAATGCTTTTGTTTTGACAAGGTTTGTTATTTGGGGGGTGTCGTTGCTTTCCACGGGGGAACAAATATGGCCAGTTCTGGCCTTGGATTCCTAATTCTTCTCCACCTCCCAAGTGCTGGGATCATAGGCATGGCATGATGGGATGGTTGGTGAGGCCAATTCGACAGAATCTAGGATTGTCTGGCAGATGGCCTCAGGGCATGGCTGTGTAGGGGACTGTCCCGATCTGGACCGCTTTGTTTAAGGTGGGAAACCCCGCCCACCATGGGTGGTGCCATTCCTCCTTCAGAGGGTCCTGGACCGAAAGGACAAAGTGACCTAGGCTCTGTCTCTCTGTCTCCCTCTCTCCCTGCCTCCCTCCTCACCCTTCTTGGCTCCTGAGGTGGTGTGACCAACTCCTTCAAGTTCCTGCTCCCTTAAATTAGCCTCCATGGTGGGCTGCAACTGGAACTGTTATGGAGCTCGATCTTCCTCGGCAGCACAGGCAGCCCTCGGACTCCAGATCCTCTCTCCTCAGCCTCTCAAGCACTGGGATTACAAGTGTGCGCCATCTTACCTGACTTAGAGCATGCTTTAGTTATTTTCTGGTACTTACGTAGAGGTGTGCATGTGGGGTGTGTGTGTGTGTGTGTGTGTGTGTGTGTGTGTGTGTGTGTGTGTGTACTGCCACAGCATGCACAGAGGTCAGAGTTCAAACTGTGGGGGTCTGTTCTCTCCTTCCACCTTGTTGGGTTTAGGAGATCAAACTCAGGTCCCAGGTATGCGGTGCCAAGCACCTTTAAGCCGTGAATCACCTCACTAGATCCCCAGAACAGTATTTTAAAAGAGGCTTCTGAGA